GTGTATTGTTTTAGTATTTGGGTTTTTTTTTCTTTTAGGTTGCCAAAGGTAAAGAGCTTAGAGTTGTGATTTACTTCCATGTAAAAGCTGATGATTAGGGTCGCTCAGGTCTAGCACTAATAATCTAGTGTTTAGGGTGTTTGGTCAGGCAAAGTTAGTCAGTTTACCCGTCCACCATCTATGCTCATGCAGATTAAGTACAGCCTCTGGGCTTCATGTGAACAGTGGTTCTTTGACTTGATAAATTTGTCTTGCTGGTGACAAATGTCTGTGCTGGTGTACTGCTAGAAATAACTGAGCTGAGAAGCTATTTAAAATACTGCCTTCCTTTGCCGTACATCAACAGATTTTTTTGAAACTGAAAAATGGCTTTCAGTTACAGTTACAGTAGCACCTTCTTGAGGAACAGATAGTTTTTCAGTAATGTTGATTATTTCCAGGGAGTGTTTGTAGCTCCTGAAACTAAGCGAAACAACAATCCTTGCTCTCTGCTTCGTACCATGTAAAAAAAAAAAAAAAGATAGCTGAAGTATTTGGAATATAATAATATGAAAAACTATCATGTGCATAATAGACAGGTGTTCTTAAACACTGTTCTTCAGTGTTAAACATTCTGTGCTGGTTTTAATGAAAGTACATGAAATTAAGTTATACTGGATTCTTTTTAGCAAGGGGTTTGCAGAATGGTGGTTTTAAAATATGCAATATAATAGTATTTTTCTGGTAATTTTAACAAATTTGCCACAGACTAATTTAAGCGGTAATCATGACCAGAAATTAAAACAGCAGCCTTTAGTTCTCTTCCAGGTTCATGAATGTAAGTTACATTTGGAATATCTGGGATTCTCTTTATAAAAATATTGTAAAAATGTAATGTTTGATTTAATTTATTGGTCAACTATTATTATTTTACTGTAACAGTTTCATTTGATCAAGTAATTTAATTTTATGTATCCTGTTCCTTGGCTTGCTTGATAATTCCTTAGAAAACAAATACTAAAATACAGTTACAGAGCTTGATATTTCTAAGGGCAGATTAATTTCTATAGTCCTCCCCACAAAAAACCTCAAACCACTCAGATGTCGAAGTACTTCCTAATGCTGTCCGTGAAGCAAGGTGGCTTTTTTTTTGGAGAGTGACAATAAAAAAAGTTCACGTTTGCACTGGCCATCCTGCAGCTTGTGTCAAGTCCCATGTTTCTGCTGGACTTAGTTTCCATAAATTGGAGGTATCAATCCTTCTTATTGCTTGAAGATCATCATAGAAAATGAAGTCATCTGCTACTATTCCAGCAGTGCACATCTTAATGGTAGTAATTTCTGAGTATCCTCTTGATAAAACCCTAGTGATTTATTTGGGTGGTAACTTCAAGATAATGTTTGAAAATTGCACCAAAGGACGTGCTCCTTTCTTGTTAAGCATAGCTGTCAGGGCACCTTGTGTGCTTGACTAAGAGTAAGGACCTGGTATGAATGGTTCTGCTGGCTGAGGGAGCCAGTTTCTCCTGGTTTTGTAAGGGGAGTTGTAGGGGCAGTTGTGATATTTGTTCCACAGATAAAGACAGTTAATAAGAGTTATTCTAATTAAAAAGAAAAGACAACTCTTAACAGTTTTAGCAGGGACACCCTCATGCATAGGGGTACATTCAGTGTTAGTGTTAATAAAAAAATGTTTTATTTAGAAGAATTTGCAGGGGATCAGCTGATGCAGCAATCTACCATATTGGTGTGTGGAGGGCTTGTTGGAGGCTGTGCAGCATAAAATTCTGTATAAGCATACTTTGAAAGTAGCCTTGCATATTGGGCTTCATTTGTGCAGGTTTTATTCTGATGTGCTTAGTGCAACAGTTGAGGGGGATTCCTGCCTTACGGACCTGTTGCAGCGGGTGAGTGGCATGGAGTATGTGTGCTTCTAGTGTCTGAATAATCTGATACCACCCCGCTGCATATAAATAGTCCACAGAAGCATATAATATCATCTGACCTCTGATATTTGAGAAGATGAGTGAAATTTTTGGAAGACTGGAAAATGTACTGCACTTTAAGCCTTTCTGAAGTGTGACCTGTTAGCGGTAGGAAGTCTTGATAATGATATTGGGATAATAATGTTTTTCATTAACTACTTTTAGAAATGAAATTTGAAACACTTCTCTGTGCTTTTTTTTCAATGTCAAGAGGGATGTGGAAATTTCTTCATCATAGCAAAAGGAAACTGTGATGGTCAGTGGCTGCATCTTGGAGGTAGATTTGCAACTTAACATAATTCACAAGCTGAGTGTATCTTACTTCTGTGAGCTATGGGTAGATTAGGGGTTCTTTTAGCCATCCTGTCTTACTCTTATCCTGTTCTGTCAGATCTGCCCATTCACTTTTTCTTTATCCATACCTTCCCATATGTGCTGTGACGTCCTTTCCAACTGGTATGACTGTTTGTGTTGCAGTAATAAAGAACAACTTGTGCATGTCTTGTTTTGTTTTGTTTTTTAATGGTGACTGTCAATCAGAAATAAAGATCCAAATCATCTTGGAGACACCTGAGAATTTCTCATCTTCCGGGCAAAAAAGAAATACAGTTCACTCTTACAGTTTTTCCAAATTGTGTGTATTCTGTCACACACATTTTTCAAACTATTGGATCCACAACCCTAAATTTTGAGATAAATGCCAACTCCACATTTGAAAGTGAGGATCTGCAAACACTGGCCTGTCTTCCACAAGCAGAGATATTTCAGGATGCTTAGCCTTTGATTGTGATATATCCTTTCCTTGTTTTGGGGGGAGTATAGTTGGCTGAATTGCTATCTAGGTTCACTTTCCTCAGACTGGAAGCAAAGCTTCTGCAGAATCAAGTCTCTTCCAAAGAACTCCTTAGAAAGATCAGGCCAGATCTATGGATTACCTTCTTTGCTACAGCTGGTGCTATAAGGCATTGTGAAGACAATGACAAATGTCTTGGTTTTGAATCACATAACTGCATGTTATTCCTTCTGAAGAATGATCCTCATCTTAAGGAATGAGACTGAAACCTAGGGAAACAGCAGTCTACCCTACTCTCTGCCATAGACTCTACTTCATATGTTAATGTAACTTGTGAAACTACATGATAATCAACTTCCGAATATCTTGGAGTCAGTAGCCTTTCCTAAAAGCAGAAGGAAACATTGTGTACTCTGCATTTTTTTAACTCTTTTTGCTTTCCTCCACCATAATGAAAAAACCTGTTAAATTGGTACCTTTTATCTCATTAAATTTTCAATGTGTGGTTCATTATGGAGAATCTTGCCCAGTATTTGTCAGCTGTGCTTGACAAAGAAGAGAAAATGTGAGTGTTGTTTCTGAACAGTTTTATTCTGGTTCTTGTACTGTGTTATATAAATGCATCCTTATGCAAGCAGGTGAGCTGGAAGCCTCTAGCTCTAGTATGTTACCTAGCTGATGGCAGGAGGAGGAGGGGGGAATATATAGAACATCCTCACTAAGAGAAGCTGCATCGTCCGTAAGTCCGAAAAATAGAAGCATAAAACTTCTTTTCTGGGTGTGGTTTTTGTTTTTATCTCTTTATGCAGAAAATAAGCCATTGTGTTGAAGTAGCAACATATTAGTAAATTGAAGCTGACATTTGATCTGCCAAGTGTACAAGTAAGCTTTGTGGTTGTGAGGCCAAGACTGTGCACAAATGCCAATACTTATGCATTACATGGCTTTTTCTATGTGAATTTTATATAGGAGGAGTAAGATTGGTGAAATTTGCCCTTCCTGTTTGTAAGTAACTTTATTATGTGTTGCATTGTGAAAATTGTTATCTGAAATGGGGGGGCTATGAAATACATTGCCATAAGTTTTGCGATTGTTATTAAGCACTGTGTGATAAACTACCAATATTAGTAGATTGAGATTGATGCTGTTGGCATGTTAAATTTAACTGTGAAATCTTTAAAAGATCTGAATGGCTTAGAAGGTAAAAGAAAGTAGTGAATGAAGTGTTTCGTGTTGGTTCGGATCCAGCTTGATGTCCTAAATGAATGCATCATGAAACCACAACAGATCAACCCAGATTTACATGAGTGACATAAAAGAGCCCTGAAGCTAAGCCAACATAGTGATTGAATTAGCTCCTGCATTTAGAGAGGCTTCTCCCTCCAGGTCAGACTTCTAAGCACTGATGGGCTTGTGTGGGGAACTAGCAGTTATAGATTGAAGTGTGCCTACGTTGTGGAGGAAAAGAAATCTTAGAGCTTCAGAACTTTTATCTTTTGACAAGTGTGACTGATTTTTCTTTTAGAGGGGGGGAAAAAAGGGGGAAACACTATGAACAATAATGGAAAAAGTAGAAGAATTTCCATTAGTGGTGCTTCAGTCAAGGACCTGCCAATCTTCCCAGAAATATCTGTTCAAAATCTGAAACATTTTGTTGCTGCGGGAGTGATATGTACCTTATGTATTGCCCACCCTCATACAATACCTGGTTTGTTCTTTTAGTAAATGGCTGTACTGTAGTGTGATGCTCATACATAGGACAATTTTGCAAACATTTGTATGTGCAGGTGCAAAAGTACCAACATTTGCAGTCTTTGCTGTAAATACTTTATTTCTAAAATATTGTCTTATTTTTTAATAAACTCTGATTATAGGCAAATAAATATCAGATTAAAATAAAGACATAGTGAATTAATAGAAGCAGTACTCCTTTTGCATAGTTATTATATGTTTAATATAGTTTTGTTTTTACAGGATGCTGGGAAATAGTTATTAAACAAAAAAAATAAAGTAATGTGAAGAAAGTCTTGTTCGAGGGATTTGTATCGTGACTAAGATGTTGCAAAGTGATACTGGAGACCTTTTAAAAATATGTTCTGCAATTTATGTTTTTATCTGGTACCCTCACATAAGATATTGATAAGTTCCAGCAACTATTTTATTAATGTTAGTATTGTTTGCAGTTCTTATTTATGTACACTTTGATATTTCAGTAACCTGATATCTCCATTTTTGTTTCTCAGCATGATGTATCACAGACGTTGCTCAAAGCAACTCTGGACAGTGTGGTTGAAGAGTGTGTCAGCTTTGTAGGAGTTGATATTAACATCTGCTCAGAAATACTATTAAGGTGAGTCAAACGTTTTCCTATTCCAGTAATTACATGGCTCTGGATCACAGAGTCTCTGTTTAGTCTGCCATCTGACTCAAGCTCAGCTGGAGCAAATGGCTCTTGTGTTAAACTTCCAATTACATGAAAATGACACATTAAGACAGTATTTCACTGAATCATGAAGAGTCAGATTTTAAGGGTATGTGTGATTCTCCAGGGTAAAATTATTCTTTGGAGAAAAACAGATATTTAAAAAATTTTGAACCAACACTGCAATTTTAGAATGACTTCATATAGTTAATTTGTATTTTTACACTGAGAAAGAGATTTTTAAATGTACTTTCTGTATCTTAGAAGGTATTTTTATAGGTACTATTAAGTGGAACAGGTTGTAAAAGTTGGGTGAGGAAAAGAGAAAAGGAGAGACTTAAGGGGAAACTGCTGAAAAATTTATCCCTCTTTATTGATTTTTTTTAAGCAATTATGTCATATTTTCTTGGAAAATGTTCTGGATTTTATTTCTTTTGGTTAGAAATTAGAAGCTCACTCTGTGTCTTGAGTGTGTAGAATTCAGAATTTTTTAGCTCAACAGCCTCTGAGAAGAGCGGCGGTGTTGTAGTCATCCTCTGTAGTATGAGGGCGAGAAAAAGAATGTCCATAATCTAGGTAGTGGCAATTATTAGGTATCAAAGTTAGGAAAAATGTGTTCTTGCTAGCTCTCTTTAATCTTTTTAGCCCCTTATTTTCATTCTTGAAAGCATCTTTCCATACTTTGAAGAGGCTCTCTGTCTATTCTTTTTGGTTTTCCACTTTGTCTTCAATACTCTTTTTCTGTGTGTGTATCTAATTCTTAGCCTGACTCTTGATTTACCTTCTGTCTTTTAGTAAGAAAGAAATTAGTACCTATTGGTAAATGAGGCTGACCAGCTTTCATTTGTGAATAAAACCCTGCCTGAGCAAGTGTAGTGGGTGAGCACTGTCAGCCTTTGTCAGGGTGCCGCTGTATTGTGCGGTTCAG